ATCAATCAATCAATCAATCCCTGATCCAATAATCAAAGAGCTTCATGTCCTGCAGCACAGCAGGAAGTACCACAGTACTCTAAACTACTGCAGTACTCGAGTACTCACAGCACCAACAGTCTGTAGCGTGGACTGATCCCATTTGCACCGTTTGAATCAGATTTGAATGTTTGACTGTAAACATGAAGGTTTCTCAAAGCTCCGCCCACTGCTCATTAATATTCATATAACCATGTGAGGAAGTTCAAACTGATGGATCAGTGATCAGGTCATTGATGAGACACGGAGACAGAAGTTGACTTTAATCTTTTATTGTGGTGAAAATGTCGCTGTTTACAGTTTACAGACGGCGACCGCGGCGACCGCCCTTCCTCCTGGTTGAGTCTGATGGGATGGGCGTGACGTCCTCTGAAACACACAAGGAAGAAACGATCACATGATCAGACGCTCGGCAACACTGTCACACGAATGTGGAGCCGAGTTCAAGGACACGTCACTGTTCAGGCTGTCAATAAAGCTCAGATTCAAACTGTGTCAATCAGATGTACGAATAAAGTTAATTCAAATCCGCCGAGTCGTTTAAAGCTTCTAACCCTCACTGAGAAAACAAACCTGCTGACCTGAGAGCAGCAGGTGTTCACCGACAGCTCGATAAAGGTGTTGAAAATGACACAACAGACTAATACTCTACTTTTAGTCACAAACTTTAATATGAATAAACACAAACTCACCGATGCGCCCGATCTTCATGCCGGATCGAGCCAGAGCTCTGAGAGCAGACTGGGCTCCAGGACCAGGAGTCTTTGTCCTGAAAGTAAAACAGAGCAGGTCATCACCTGGACAGGTAACACACACACCTGGGTTTGAAAGGCCTGGGTGAACCCGGACCTGCAGCGAAGCAGTCAGAGGCTGCTGGTCTATCTCCAGTAAAACCAGTCAGACTTACTAAGGTAACAGTAAATACTCGACTTCTATCTATTCTTAGAGCTTTGAACAGAGCAGCTGAGGACTTCACCTGAGCTGCACTGTTCCAGTAAAATCAACAGTTTTTTGAATGGAGTTTGGTTCAGATTTGGACCAAATGAAGAGGCTTCCTGCACAGAAATGGCAGATTTAATAAAAAACACTCACACTCTGCTTCACTGACTCCGCCCCTGTCACTTTATTAGGTACAGCAGAGTACCATGGAGTTAACCCCTGATCACCTGACTGGGTTAAACCTGGTAACTTGAAATTTTATTGATCTGTTCAGTGCTTGAGGTGTACCTAATAGAGTGTCAGCCCACTGCCTACAGAATCAGGTGAGTGCAGGTTACCTGTTGCCCCCAGTGGCCCTCAACTTTATGTGCAGCGCCGTGATGCCGAGCTCTTTGCAGCGCTGAGCGACGTCCTGAGCCGCCAACATGGCAGCGTATGGAGAAGACTCGTCTCTGTCCGCCTTCACCTTCATCCCACCGGTCACACGGCAGATCGTTTCCCTGCAAACACACACACACACCATTAGCACCAATTAGAGAGCAGCTTTTATTTTGGCGAGCAGACGGTCGGAGGGGACATACTTTCCGGAGAGGTCAGTGACGTGGACGAAGGTGTCGTTGAAGGAGGCGAAGATGTGGCAGACGCCGAAGACGTTCTCGCCCTCGGCCACCTGAGGACCCAGGCTGATCACCTGCTCCTCCTTCTTCTCCTTCCCTTTACGAGGAGCCATCTTCTGCTGAGGAAGAGGAGTCAGACATGTGAGCATGAGGAGGTCACAGCGAGCACGCCCACGGAGAACCACCAATCACAGCCAGCTATTCTTTATACAGACATCGAGACCAGACCGCCGCAGCAGCGTAACACGGTGAGATTTTCCCTTCCAGCAGCGTTTCCCCATGCCTCCATTACACCCCAAACCCACTTCCTGTTCAGGT